GAGTTAATTAGCCTTGGGTTAAGGCTATAATTACTCTTGGAGTAAGCGGATTGCGATCAGCTAAACTCGTACTTGTTCTGAGTGTAAAACGAGTGGTCGGTGACCTAACTTACCCTTCCTCTAAGCGCAAAGCTACGGCAGCCGCGCTGCGGCAACTCGGCTTGATTCTGCGCATTACATTGAGATAGATTTTTGCAGGTCTAGGAGCTGGCTTGTATCGATTTTTTTAAATAGGATTAGCCACCATCAAGCCGAAGAGCCCTGAAATACCCATAACGCACATCGAGAGACAAGAATTGACCAAGTTCAAATCGAGAAGTGGTGGAAGCATGGGCTAAAAGAGGATAGAAGCTGCAATGTTCAAAGTTATAACCGATCATTTGTGCTCTCAACAACATTGACATTTATGCCTCTCAAAGGGCTATTGGGGGGATCCTGAGCATCATCTTGACAAGAGCTCCCGAAAAGTACTAAATGCATTCGTCCGCACTCTTGATGAATCTATCTTTGTTAATTTGTTCGACTCGCATCGAGATATTCTCCTCGTGTCCACGCAAGACATTCGTCAAGTATACTTTACCATTTGATTAACGGATAAACGATGCTTCACTACAATACCTTTCATCACTTCAGATTCGCACGGAAAATAAAACAAAGTTTTCTTAAGTGTCAACGATGAATTCTCAAACTTTGCTTCAAATGCTTCTATGTCGGACAAAACGTGTGAATAAATATTGAGCAAAGGTAATTAAATTTAAAAGAACCGAATCAAACGACAGTGCAACCTGGATACTCAATCTTTTGTGTGTTAGAAAACACACGTGAAAAACTTTCTTACGAGTTTCACACCATTACCGTGGCATATGGTAGCACTTGTAGTCAACTTGATGACTGAGTCTAGAGAAACTGTATTCATTGTTTCTCGGGACACCAACAGACGCTTGACTAGCTCCCGTCTTTCGACGGATCCGAGGCAACGCCAAATGGCACTAAGCAATATTCGTTTCTTGAAAGCATTGAAGTGCGCTTGTATGGTAGATGCCAATTAGTCCTCTGAGAAGCTCAGCCGCTTTCCAGACGGGTACTTTCTTCAGCGTCTAGCGTTTGATTGCAAGTACGATTCCTAAAGATAAAAGGTTAGAAGTCCATAAATGTGTAAAGCTCGAGCCGAAATTATGTCTTATTAGCGTTCTTCAATCTAGGAGTCCGTGCGTGAGAAGAACCACTTAACAGCCGCATCGGTATAAACGAAAAACTTCGAAGATACAAAGTATCAAAGCTATGGATATCGCAATCTTTACACCGCTCGACCTGGCTAAGCGTGTTCAATCAAAATTCATGTCTGTCAGGTAGGCAAGACTGTCCCACTATTGAAGGCTTATGGTTAGGATGGTGGCCGGCCGCCTGTGGCAACATTAATAGAATCATGGGCGTTCTTTTTATAGGTTTAGCTTGTTCGATGAGATTTCGCGCTTCATCTACCGCGTTGAAATAATATCAAGGGTTGCATTAGATGCGTAGCACAACTTTCGTGCTGGATAATCAAGATTTCTCCAACGGCGACAGACCTCTGTGGAGGGTAAGAAGAGTGATATAGTTACATAGTAATCGCATCCCTGCGCAATGCATATGCGCTACATGCGCCTTGCATGCCCCCGTTTTCTTACATTAAGAATGTGCGAAGAATCCAGACCTCTCGATCGACCTACTCATTTAAGATATGCCGAGTCTCAGCGATCGCCAATAGGTTAGGAACATTGATTAATTGTACATCATGAAGTCATGGTGAAAGAAATTAAGCTCTCAAGAGATCGAGTCGCGCCTATAGAGATGGGTCCAACAGCTCGGAATTGCCGGCTATCGACACCAACGTTTTAACCTTTGATAATTCATGATTAGCCTGTTAGAATTGGGAGCGTCGTGCAATGACGGACTATCCACAACTGTCGGAAGTATTTGTTCGAACGCAAAAGTATCACACAAGTCAAATACGATTGCAATAAAAGTGCATCTTACGAAGAAGATAGTACGAATTGTATTTTTGTGTCGACGTCCCATCAAAACTTCATGTAAATTTTGCCGAATTCGACTAATTAGAGTGCTGCTACGTCCTGGACGCGATATGATTATGGAATGCAGAGCATTTTGTAGAGGAACTGGGGAAAAACCTGTGTAGATAGGTGTTTAAAAGAATGGTCGATCCTTGTCACAATGCAAATGTAACGTTGAGTCAGCAATACCGTGTGAAGCGCATCCGGCGGAACGGTATAGCTCTACAGGTTTGTGGCGACAAGGGGTAGTCCAAGAGAGTGTAAGCCTTCGGTTGTAGTTGTACTTATTGGACCATCTGATCAGCTTGATTCGACAGCTTCCATTAGCTTTTGTCTTGTGTTGCTGCTGCGGCTACGTAAATACGTTGGTGATACAATATAAGGACCGTTTCAAGATGAAATATTCACCTGATCTTACAGATCCCTATGTAGCGAGACCTTTGAAGAAAGCGAGGATCCTCTTAAATGGAAAGATGGAAAGAGTATTGTCCTCTCGGCACAAGAGATTGCATTTTCCAGGGCTGAGTGCGAAGATTCGTGGTCGTTGATACCAGTATATTACGCTTTTAAAAGCTACGAAAAGTCTACAAGCCATTCATGCAATATTTCAAAATGTGAGGAATAGGCAAGAATTTGAGTATACCATACTTCCATGCGTCCCATGACGGAAGCTACAATTAAAGTTTTGAAATATTTTACATCCCATAAAATTCAAGACCTGACAGGGTGAAACGCTATCGGGCTTAGAGATTAATTCGAAATGGTGTGACTGCACCCAGATAAGTATACAGTACGTGGCTGGGTAGCCTGTAGTTATGCATGTGTTTAGATTTTACTATATATGTTTAGGAAAATCTATACATTCAAATTTAGGAGGCTTTGCCGCAGATAAAAATAAATAGAGTCAGTGTTTGAATCAAAACGGAAGAGTTAATTAGCCTTGGGCTTAGGCGATAATTACTCTTGGAGTAAGCGAATTGCGATCCGCTAAGCTCGTACTTGTTCTAAATATAGAACGAAAGGTCGGTGACCTAACTTACGCTTCCTCAAAGCGCAAAGCTACGGTAGCCCT